GACAGACCGAGAGTAGCAAGTCCCCCACCAAAGAAGACAAAGAAGACTCAGAAGGGTATTGACTCTTCTGAGAAAAAGAAAGGGAAGAAGAGGGCCCAAGCAGTCCTCTGCAAAAGCCAAAGAAGAAGAAATCAAAGAAGGCCCAACCCGCAGAGGTTGAGGTCACAGAGGCTGTACTCCAAGAAAGCCCCGCAGACGCTGCTCCAAAGCGTAGAAGGTTGTGCAAGGTTGTTCACGAAGAGTCTCCAATAGAGCAGATACATGATGTCATCTTCCACATCCAACAAGAATTTAAAGCTCCCACAGAGGTAGCGGATTTGGGGATAGAAGTCGTAATAAACAACGAAGAAGAAGAGTTGGAGATAGAAGATGGAGTAAAAGATGTCGAAGGCACACATCCTAGCCCCCCTCCTAGTGCTACCCACATTTCCAGGGACCCTGTTCTAGAGGGAACCCCTATCACACGCTGAACCCTACCCAAACCTACCTCGCAGAGGACATTCTTTCGTCCTCTGTCGAATGCATAGCCCGGGAACCACAATCAACTCCAACATCCTCTCAAAAGGATGCTGGTTTTACAATAAGAGTCCATTCGCCCAAGGACTCATCACAACCCAGAGAGGCATCCGTTGCCCCTCCACACTTGAGTGAACAACCAAGTTATGCTTCAGAGGCATACGAGAGGTTTACAGAGACTGTGGGTCTAGAACGCCCAAAGTCCACACTCGATCCCTCTACCAAGTTAGGCTCTGAACCTACTGGGCACGATATCGACAGAACACTGGTAGGCTCTCCAATTGGAGATGTTCGAGGATCCGGTGGAAGTCCCCGAGCTGACATCGAAAAACCAGTCACTAAGGGCGTCTCACACTCCGAGGCTACTAGGTCACCATGTGTTGGTGATCTAGGTTCCCAGAGTACTTATGTGACGAATGAGGAGTTACAAACCTTCACCACAGAGGTATTCAAGATGATGGATGAGTTGAAAAGCTTGTTCTCCTCCCAACCGGCGACAGAGGCTCTCGCACCGCTCACAGAGGCTCTGAAGGAGTTGACTTCCACAACTTCTGAGCTCAAGGCAACCGTATCAGCCCTTCAGAGCTCTATCCTCAACAAAGACGACCTCACAGAAGCTTTCAACACCTTGTCTCTCAACCCTTCTTCAATCCAAAAGCTCAAGACAGAACTAACAGAGGTTGCCGCCCAATTTGCTGCAGACTTCATTTCCGCCGGCTACACAGATTATTCTGCCTTCAAGGATGAGATCAAAGAGATGTTCTCCTCTGCGGTCACCTATGGCATTGATTCTAAATCCTCCAGGGCTAACATTAACCATCTAGCCACTCGCAGAGAGCTAGATGCAATGGTTGAAGCCCTTGGAGAGATCGTGCAGAAATACACTGACCAACTCCTCAAGGAAGCCCGAGCAAGCAACGAAGCTATAAGAGACTGCATGAAGAAACTCGTCAAAGAAGGTGATAACTTCATAAATGAGATCTATCGCTGCATCTCTAAGATGAAATAGGCCACAGAGATGGATATCAACACTGCCTCTGTGATTGCTGAGGAGGTCATTCAAAAGATGGAGAGGGCGGCTTCCAAAGTTTTAAAGCGATTGAAGAAGGCTCCCCTTACTACTTGCAAGGCAGTGGCCACTAAAATCCATGACGATCAAGGAGGTGATAACCTCTGAGGGGGAGAAGAAGAAAGAGGAACAAAAGAAGGCAACCTCTGCCAAACCACTAAAAATAGTGGACTCTGCTGCTGCCC